CCCCAAAACCCCAAAACCCCAAAACCCCAAAACCCCAATTATAAAGGAATCTGAAGTATTTTAGTGAGATTTGTTACTATTTTAAGGTGTTATGGCTTCTTAGTCAGCCTTTATACCATTTTCCTGACATTTTTCAAAACTTTGGGGTTTGAATGGTAATCAAGAATATTTTTCCTAGGATTACTAAAATCACTTCGATTTGTTTTTACAAGCTTTCTTGGCTTTTTAATCATAAATCTTTCCTTGTTATTAATAGTGTGCTCTTTTAAAGTATTTTGGTTTTCTTTATCTGAGCAAAGATGTTTTGAAAATGGTACTGATTCATCCATATCATCGTCATAATCATTCGAATCATCCCCAGGACTAGCCACTGCATGTTTGACTATACTCGTATTGACAGCTGTGAAGTTGTTAGATGTCTTCTCAATGCTACTATCCACATTAATTTCCCGCTCCTGCTCATATTTTCCAAACATTTTAGTATACTTCGGACTCTCCTTTTTATTTACAACTATTTGTTTTGGAATCTGGTTATATCTAGTATTTCCTTTACTCTTAATCTTAAGCTTTGCCTTAGGAGTCTCGTTTGTATCACTGAGGTTCAAGTTGATTTCAGAATCTCCAACTTCTCTGTTCTTCTGTATCTTCTTTGATGATGGATAGAAACTATTTCTAGCACTAAAGATCATTCCATCTCTGCTTGCTGAAACTGAACTACTCAGTCTCTTGGTAAGTTTCTTAAGTTGCTTCGCATAAGCATGCTTTTCTTTTTGGAGTTTGTCAACTTTCCTGTCCATTTTCTTAAGCATATGTTCTGTAGTTTCAAGTTTTTCGACTACTCTGTCATTGCTTACAGTGTGGCTTGGCTGTAAATCTGCCTGAGAAGCCATGATTTGACCGTGATGGGACAGCATTCCATCAAAACCTTGGGTGAATTGCCCACTACAACTGAGACCACCAACTACACTTTGACAAGCAGGCCTGCTCATATTCATAATCATTGGATTTTGGCAGGTGGAGTTAAAATTTCCCTCTAAATTTTGACAACTAGTAGCAGGATCTGGTAGCTGCCTTACAAAAGAACCAGAAACCTGATGGTTTCAACCTCCAAACTTGAAATCTCTCCTGCTCAAACTTCTTGGCTTACTCAACTCGAAATTACTGAGTTCCATTTTAGAGCTCTTGTTTGAGTGAAGGTTTAAATTTTTGTCATAATTATGAATACTAGATATCTCATCATCAAGCCTCATTGTGAAATCATAGTTATCTGCATTATTCCCTGTACAATCATTTTTGTTGACAATATGCTCATGGAAAGCTGTTGGCTCAAGTGAGACACCTCACTTACTGCATTCCATCAAGCTTGCAGAGTCAACCATATTCTGGCACATTCTCAACAAGGTCATTTCTGTATTAGAAAACCCATTGAAATTTAAATCTCCTAATCGCTTGGAAGAAGGAGTACTCGCATTTGAACTCTTATTATTCAAGAGTTGTTTCAGACCTTCAATCTGCTCTTCTTGGTCTGCAATAGTCTTTAACAACTTCCCCTTCTTCTCTTCATACTTTTCCTTATTTTGGCGAGATTTCTCTAATAATGTCTGGACTTTGTTGCTTTCCCCGGTCAAAGCATTGTTAAAATTGTGAGCCATTTCCTCTATCTCCTCATCTTTGAGAGCAAGTTCTCTTTCTAATTTCTGATTTAGATCGATAATAGTCTCCATATCCTCATGTTCATTAGCCAAGTCCATATACTGGTAGTGCTCGTTCTTCATTTTCTCTATTTGCTTTTCAAAAGTTTTGGAGTTTCTCTTTAGCCTAGCATTTTCATTCTTTAGCTTCTCATTCTCTTGACTCATTATCATGAATCTTTCAGAGTTCATTATTATACTATTCTGAGCATTTTTAGCAGACTCTTGTTTTAATAGTAGGATATCATCATTTGCTTGAGAAAGCTTGTCTAATAGTTCCTGCTCTTTGTCTTTATGAGCAACATTAGCTTTGTCAAATTCAATTTTCCATTTGGAATCAATGTTTTCCCGGTCTTCTGAGTTTTGCCTAACAAATTTTTCAATTTCCATGCGCTTTTCGATCTCTTGGTCCTTCTTTAAGATGAGTATTTCCTTCTCCAATTCGGTATTTTTCTCAAGCATTTTCTTGACTTCATCTTGTAAGCCAGTGCAGGTTTCGTTAAGAGAAGTGCATTTTTCCTGAAGCTCAACATTATTTCTGAGTTAAATGACCTAACTGGGAGTCAAAGGTCTTCTCAGCTTCAGCTAGCTCTCTCTTATGCTGCTCAGATAGCACTTCGTACTGCTTGGCCATTTGGTTTTCCTTCTCTGAAGAATTATCCTCTCTAAAAGCCTTAAGCATTGTATTATGTAATTTCTCAATACTATGTTCCCTTTCTTGGGCTTCTTTAAGTTTCATGTCCATTAGTTCTATTTTCTGTAATAAATAATTTCTTTCTTTATCAAACTTGATCTTTGTCCGATCCAATTCCCTCTGTAGCTCTTCAGCTGAGAGAGGATCTCCATTAAGCCTTGACCTGCTTGAGTCTCTTCTATGTTCCATTATACACTAAGATTGTCGGGCGGGCCGTAATTTTCAAATTTTTAAAATATTCAATAGAAATTTTTAGATGTGGGGTTTTGGGGTTTTGGGGTTTTGGGGTTTTGGGG